TTTACAAGCTTTACTTGTATCATCATTTACATACATATGTGTGTGAAGGTATGTACTTTAAACACAAGACAAGCAGACATGTTCGCAGTACTTTTATTTAGTATTTCGTAAATATGTTGCTGATATGCATATTGAGGAAAAAATGCTGCATTGAACTCGAGTTGTGTTATCATATCGAAATGGCATATATTACAACAAATGTACATAAATACATACAATACATATGTACATATTGTAACCTTAATATAGAAAGGTCCTATCTCACATCGTCGCTGAAATACAAAAAGCCGTAACTAAGTAAAAAACAAAAATTCCTGTTTTGAGTGGTTATTATGTATTTCATCGAATTAGAAGTCCCCACATCAATTTAAGCAATAATAAAATTTTAGTCAGTTACGGCTTTTTTGCATTTCAGCGACTATATGAGTTGGGGCGTTTCTATATTAAGGTAACGATATGTATTAATTTACAAGACGTACAATCGAGCGACAATTGATGGCTACATTTGCAATGTATAACTGAATAATAACGACGAAGCTAAAAGAGACGCTACTTATTTTCAGCTCATGAAACAGACCTGGTGGAAAGCTCAGAAATTGTTACTTTAGAAAACGTAACAAAACACGTTTAATAATACTGTATAAATAAATAATTTCAAGTCAATAAACCCTAAAATCGGAGCGAAAAACCAGTTGCATGCGATTTTTGAATATTAAACCTAACTAAATGCATACCAGTGAAGTATTTACATATATATAAAATATCTATTTTGTTTTATTTTCTCTGTTGTTGTTGTTGTTGTTGCTGTTGTAGCGGCTACAATACTGGTTACATTTGAATAAATAAGGGACTGATGAGATATATTTGCTTTTGTTCATTTCAAGACCGAGCAAACACTGCTGCCTCGTTCATTTTTAATGATTGCTTGTGAAAAGTGCAGTGCAATGCCATGCATATTACCTCTTTAACGGTTGGAGAGATGCTTCTTATATGAACATACATCAATACTTACATGTGTACGCATATACGTAGATGCACCACTACTTACATGTGTACTAGGGATGTTTCGAATGTATACGAATAACATTGAAAAAAGCTATAATCAACTTAAGTCATCGTTTTTATTACTTAAAAATTTTGTAAATTACTTGAACACTGAACGAGTGCTTAACCTATACAGTGTTTTAACCTAGTAGCCAAAGTTCAAAAGGGGCATATTATATTTAAAAAAAAAAGAAGTAATTTCGCTGCCTTTTCTCCCTTGAGGCGATTCCTTAGAGGCTCGTATATACATAACGCCGGCTGCACTGAACAATTGCTTACTTGGAACGCTGGCGCGTGGAGCTCTCGAATATTTGCGGCCAGATCTGTTAATTTGTCGTATTTTAATTTAGTTTTCCACCAATCGAGAAGATTTTCGTCGAGATGAGCTCGTTTTTCTTTAAGATGGGCCTTCAATTGAGCTTTAATTTCACATTTTTTAATGTCTCCAAATTCCACATCAGAGCCTTCGCTTTCGCTGCCCGAGTCTAAAATTACTTCTAGGTTGCTTATACGACTTTTAGCAGTACTTGTTGAAGGCCCATCAATGTTGTTTGATATATAGCTAAACCGTTTAGCGCCTGAAGCTAAAAGCCGGTTATTGTCCGCACCGTGGTTAGACAGATTTAGAGCCATTTCAACAATATTAGAGTGGACTCTCTGCTCATGTACACATTCGTATTCGGAAAGCATTCGTATCATTTAATGCGAATGCGAATGTTGAATGCGAATGTGTAAAATGATGCAAATATTCGCAACATTCCTGGTATGTTCGTACGTATGCACATTCATTATTAAATGTGGGAGGAAATAATGAGGATTATTTTGCGTTTCATTTGCCGAATAGTGCTTTACATAGTACATATTGCATGTACGCTGCAAATTCAGCAGGTGGTGTGCGATTATACATATTTATTTATATCTTAGGCATGCACATACATACATAGGCATGAATATACAAGTGTTTGGATTTACGTCACACTATTCATTGGGAAATACCTGCCTGCTGCTTTGAGGATAATTGTTATTGTAACCGGATACAAATTACCAAAGAATTTTTGGGAATTGATGATGGAGTAACAGCCCTTGGCCAGATATGAACCTGACATACGCACATTGTATGTACGTAGACCCGATTGTCGCACAGTGCTTCCCTTCCATATTAAATTNACATCAATGTTGTTATTTGTCCGCACCGTGGTTAGACAGACTTAGAGCCATTTCAACAATATTAGAGTGGACTCTTTGCTCATGTACACATTCGTATTCGGAAAGCATTCGTATCATTTGATGCGAATGCGAATGTGTAAAATGATGCAAATATTAGCAACATTCCTGACATGTTCGTACGTATGCACATTCATTATTAAATGTGGGAGGAAATAATGAGGATCATTTTGCGTTTCATTTGCCGAATAGAGCTTTACATAGTACAGCAGGTGGTGTGCGATTATACATATTTATTTATATCTTAGGCATGCACAAACATACATAGGCATGGATATACAAGTGTTTGGATTTACGTCATACTAATCGTTGGGATATACCTGCCGGCTGCTTTTAGGATAATTGTTGTTGTAACCGGATACAAATTCCCTACGAATTTTTGGGAATTGATGCTGGAGTAACAGCCCTTGGCCAGATATGAATCTGGCACAAATACATACATATGTACGTAGACCCGATTGTCGCACAGTGCTTCCCTTCCATATTAAATTTGGGCAAAAATAGAATTATGAACGGATTTAAATGAAAATTCGCTTCTTAGTAAAATTGAGGGCGCCAAATTAAAAATGCCATTTGTTTTTGGATAACTTTCACTGTAAATGCAGTTTGAAGTTGAAAATTTGGGTTCTTGTGGCTTTTATATAGGTATGTACATATAGTTCGCTCTATTTTGAAAAGTGAGGTGTCAAATGACAGGGCTTGGCCTGTAGATGTGCAACAAAGTTTTTTATTTTTGAAAAGGCTTGCCAACTGTTACAACTTTAATTAAAATTATTTAATAAGTTAAAAGATATTACAATATGGGTATCAATTGAACTAGTTTTGACAATACTTTACTTCTAAACGACACGCAGAAGGGTTGTTACATGTTTAAAAAATCAAATTTTTTTTAATTGAGGGAATCAGATAACTGAAATATGTATATCAATATGAGTATCAGACAAATAAAAAAAAATGACATATTAAGCAAGAAATAAGTGAAGAGTACAAACATTCCTGAGTTAATTTAAGAGTCCAGTAATTTGAAAGGAATGTAATCAGAACAAATCACTGATTGACAATGTATGTATTTGTAATAAAATAACAAATACGATGGCGTAATCCTATGGTTTCACGTAATTATTATTTTAGTTTAACTAAGTTCGACTATACAAACAGGTGGCTGCCCTTTTCGTAATATTTTTAATCTAAAACCTTCGTAAACCTCGTTCGTCTGACTCCCTTATGGTGATACCTATCTATTTCAATTACATATTTTAGTTAAAGTGGAATTTGATTTTTTAAACAGGTGGCAACTCTCTACATGTAGTGAATACACACTTCGATTGATACCCATCTCTTAATAATTCACTTAACATATAAAAAAATTTGAACCTAGTTTTTTATTACTCTAATTTTTTAACAGATGGCAAGTCTTTAAAAAAGAATAAACCTTTTATTGTCTACAGGTCAACGTTTTTAATCTGACACTTCATCTTTGAAAATGGAACGAATCGTGCAGATCTCAAGGCACTGACAAAAAATTAAATAATTATTTTATGCATTAGCGAAAAATGCATTACATACTTCAGAAAGTGCAAAAAATGAGCAGGTTTTATTTCTTCTTTTGAAAGCTAAAAGCCCGTACTATTTAATAAAATAATAAAAAATAACCTATATTTACATATATTTTTTATTCATTCCATTAAAATTTATTTTGAAATTTTGTTTAAAAAATTCTTTTTTTTCTGGGAATTCCGCAGGGACACCCTGTGTTTAATTTTACTCCAAAATTTTAATTCCTGTAATTCTCTACTATCTATATGGAAACAAGAAACGTCAAACCAACATTTTATTTCAAAAAATATATTTTTGAATATATAATATATATATATTTTTTTTTAATTCCTGTAATTCTCTACTATCTATATGGAAACAAGAAACGTCAAACCAACATTTTATTTCAAAAAATATATTTTTGACATTTTTTTCTGTGAAGAGCTTACGCATTGCTATGCTCTTATTAAAATTCTGAGTATAAAATTTGTCGCCTTTAGTGGCTTCCTTACGGCATATAATTCATTGTTTAGGGAAATTTCGGTTTAATTCTTTTTAGTGGATAAATTGTCTTTACAAAAATACCAAACACGTTCACATTAATAAAATTAGACTGTCATTACATTTAGAGTTAAAAAAAAACATGAAATGCATTAGTATGCGACTCATATGCGCATATGAATTTTTAAATGCTAATGACAAGAGTTACTGAGTAACCAAGGAAAGTTGATTAAACCGGGCATTGTGTGGTACTTATAAATACATTTAGAAGCGACTAAATTGCCTAATAATAAAGCTGATTGTACATTGTGAAGGTTTGATTTAGCTTTATTGGGGGAGTTTTTTTTCAATTCATTTTGGTGGTAGTTTAAGTATAGTTTTATCTTTTATAAAAGATAATGTGTTAAATATACCAGATCTTGTACTAATTAATAGTTATTTTGAAGTAATTTTTATATACCGCTAACCACGTCTCTTAACATCGCAAAGCAGTTTTTTTTTTTTTTTGAAAAATTGAAGATAGAGGGTATTTCAAATAATAATAATAATAGGTATATTCATATAAGCCCTCGACAATTAAACAATTTGTTTCGCAGCAAAGCTCAGTCACAAACTACATACATATATATTACACAACCCGTGGGCTTTTAATTAAATTAAAAATTATTTTAAGCGAAGCTGTTTGTTTGACTCACCTGCACAACAAATTTGTATGGAAATTTACGGCGCGCTTGCCACTTTTCAATCGGATTCATAAAGAAAAATTGCAATTTACGACGCATCCTTTCCTCGTTGTAAGAGGCCATAGGCGAAGAACCTTCCATGTTATTGGAACTGGAGGGCAATTCACTGGCTTCAACGCCACCAGTGTTATGTGCTCTATGAGGCGCAAAAACGTTTGGCCCCTCATTGGCCGCCTCTATACCAACAGCACCACCAGCTGTAGCGGCGGTCAATGGCGCTGTCGCCGCTGACCTTGGTTGGTTTCTATTATATTCATCATCACTTTCGCAACGCGAATTTTCACCGCTGCTGTTGCCGCTACCCTGAATCACTCCACCTGCGTGCTGCTGGCCATCGCTGCTATTACGCAGCGTTGCGTCATAGAGATTTCTTTGGGGATGTTGTTCTTTATTAGGTAGTTGTTGGGGAGCAGCTGACGCTGGTGCTCCACCGTAACTTTGCATCTCAATACACTGCAAAAGTGTTGTATGTGGTGGGGTTTGGGACTTTTTCTTTTGCACTCACTTGGCAAGAAATCCCAAGTTCTGCTCCGTGTTTTGTCAAATTACTACATTCTGTACGCGTTCGAATAACTTTATCAACTAAATTGCGAGTTCGATGAAAAGTTAAAATTTGCTGGAGTTTTAGTATCGGATAGCAGTGTTAGATTTCTTTTCCTTGCCTTTGTGTTTTGATATGGAATAAAAATTTTTTTTACAACCGTACTGGGATAATGAGGAATCGCAGAAAACTAAGTATTCATCACAACAATCCAAAAGAATGTCAGAACAGGGATAGATCACAAAACTTCCACTGGAATCGGCACTACCGGACGTCACTGGAATGCACTACCGGAAGTATAGGGTGATAATTGCAAATGCATTTGACAATTCGTAGATAAACAAAATAAGCCTTTTGTATACATATGTATGTAAACGTTCGATCCAATCAGCAATCAGCGTAGTGCGAAAAACTGTGTTGCAATAAAATAAAGAAAATAAGTGAGCCTTTGCATGCCTTTGAATTCATCTTATTCATTTCATTGAAGAATCTGACCTTACACGTTATTTCGTAATAAAACAGGGTGGCGCCGAAAAAGATTTATGTGATTTTTTTAGTGACCGCTAGATGACGCCGAGCTGGCAATTATTTGACAGTTTCCTATATTTCTTGTTCCATGCCGGAAGTTTAGTTTAACTGTGAAATTCTGTGGTGTTAAATTTATGATATTTGCAAATTGTTATTATGTTTCACAACGAACTGCATTTTTACTGCATTTTCTGCTTCGGAAAGCATTTCTTAATACAAAAAATTTGCAGAAGAGAGCGTAAAAAAACGTGAGACTGCAAATTTCTGCTAGCGAAATTTTCTGCCAACAGAAATATGCAGTCATATGTTTAAAAAGCAGCTGTTTAAAACGCACAAGGAAAATTTTTACAAGTTTATTTTAATTCACTTTTATAAAACAAAATGAGCGCATCGTTATCAAAACACATTGAAATATTGCAGAATGTAAGTATTCAGAATGTAAGTCCCTGTAAAAATAGTTGGTACCGATATAGTCTATTTGTGGCATATTGGAGCACTTACAAAAGTGCTCCTCTGTCATGCTGTAGCGGACCACTGCTGTGCGATCACTGCGAGCACTGATCGTGTTTTAACGAAATGTGATTGAAGTGCAATGGGGTATAGTCGTTGTGCTGCGTATGCAGTTACAGTTGCACGGATATACTCAATCCCGACTCTTACGTCCTCGTTCGCGCACTCTGGACAACGTGAGCAACCCATGTGCGAGATGCGGTAACCAATCCGAGAGGAGCCTTGGGTCACGGCAGAAAGAGCTTCGGTGAGGCCACTCCGAATCATTCGGCTTAAAGAAAGAATTTTATAATAAATTTCAACTTATTACTAACCTGACGGAATTAAACACGATAGAATTCGAAAAGAAGGCCAAAGAATTACAAATGGTTTTCACTAAAGACTTAAAAGACGATTTTTCAGAAGAATGTATCCCCTTCATGCCCTGTGCAGTATAAAAAATTACGATCGGAAGAGTTCTATCAGTTTGTTTGAATGGCTACGAGCTGATGGTCTGCAAACCATTTACACATACATACGTGGACATCTACTCCCGACAGCAACAGGTAACTTTGATCCGAACAAACGGCGCAGTTGACCTGCTAAAAATTGTACCCTGACAGCCAGCAGTAATGCGAATTAACGAGCCACGTGGTCGTGGGTTCGAACACACACAAAAAGTAGAATATAACTTTTTTTTATCTAGTCTATTGCTTTTATTTATTTTTAATGTAATTACACCGTGCGATAAAAACAAACACGTTTTAAAACAAACGAAAGAATCGATATACTCACGGAACTATGGGGCGAATATAGTAAACCAGCGTTTTTAGTTTTTCACTCTGACCTTAGGATATTTTTTCAAAGGACTTTGAAATTTCGAAGATATGGTTAATTAAAATAATAATAAAAAAAAATGAGTGGAATGTAGAATATGGGTATCAAATGAAAGAGAAAATTCTTTTGAATTCAAAAACAATAAAGTTGTTTTGTTAACAAGGACGAATAGGTACTGAAAATGCGCTTTAGTAAAGTTTGCAGGACGGAATTTGATGATATGGTCATGTGTATATTTGTCCCCAAACAATTCTTTTTTTTTTTAAATAAATACCTCAAATTTTCAAGGCTTTTTAAGTACAACATTTTTAAAGAACATTTTCCATGCCCATTCACCTTTATGCACCAAAAAAAATTATTCTACAGAATTTTTTCTTATATTTGATACCTTTATTTTTATTTTGCATTGCACTGAATTGTTTAAGTAATTTTTTGAAATAACTATATTTTATAAATTCCAAAGTCCTTTAAAAAATCTTGACGTCAGAGGGAAAAACTAAGTACGCAGTTTTACTATAATTTGACCATTCTTTCGCGAATATGTGCATTTTGTTGTGTCCAAAATTTACTGTCGCACGGTGTTATAGTTTGCAGACTTTTCAACAAAATTAAACACCAAAAATTTTAATTTTCCAATAATAAAATAAATAATATGAAATAATACTAAACATAAGAAAAAAAGTAAAGTAAAATATATAAAAATATATAAAAATTTAAAACGAACGTAAAAAATTATAAGCAATCGCTCAAATCGAGGATCGAACCTGGATCCTACGGAATTGTAGTACGCAGTACACACCAGTACTGTCGTCTATCTGTTCAATTTTCATTTCACATATCGATGACTGAGCGGAAGATCGACCTACCTCGGCAGCAAGTTTGAAAAGGCCCTATCTCAGAAAATTTTTCATTAACGCCCTATCTCAAAAAACTTTTCAAGAACGCCTTACTTCAGAATTTGTTTGAAAACGCCCCATTTCAGAATTTTATTGAAAACCACCCTATCTCAGCTGCTGATTCAAGGACGCCCTATCTCAGCTTATTTTCAATGTATTTTCGTTTGAGATAGGGCGTTTTTGAACGGAATTCTGACACAAGGCATTATTCGACCAAATTATGAGATAGGGTGGTTTTCAATAAAATTCTGAAATGGGGCGTTTTCAAACAAATTCTGAAGTAAGGCGTTCTTGAAAAGTTTTTTGAGATAGGGTGATTTTGAATTTAAGTATATTAATTGTTTCGTGTGTTTTGAAATTTTCTATTACTGTCACATGGCGGAATATATCGTTGATGTTTTTGCCCACCCATCGACCAGTTGCAAAACCACCTAAATCGCCATTGTGACAAAAATGACATTTGCTAGCCCTGAACTCCAGGCATCGAGATTTATGCATAAGAATTGTAAAATCGTTATTAAAACAACAGATTTGTAAAATAATAGCTAGAGAAAATACCGCCTATCAAGGCAATGCCTTCAAAGAAAATACGGTTTTTTTCGCTCTCTTGTANAAATTGTAAATCGTTTAGTGCCGTAAGATAGGCGGTTTTGCAACTGGTCGATGGACATCGACGNACGGTTTTTTTCGCTCTCTTGTAAAATTTTAGTGCCGTAAGATAGGCGGTTTTGCAACTGGTCGATGGACATCGACGATATGTATTTCAATAAATTAATATGTAGTGAATACCTAAATAGTGGGAGCTGAGTAAGGGGCGGCTCGTACTATAGGGATTAGGCCGGAGAAGACTGCCAATCCGCCACTGTTCCGCCCTCAGGGCTAAAATGTGTTTCATCGATTAGTGATTTATTTTTCCAAAACAAAATCTAGTAATTTAAAGTAAAACAGTGAAGACAAACAATCATTAATCGCTTTGCGTTAGCCATCAAATTAGCATAACACACAATCACTTTCTTCTCCACTTTCTTCTAGCAGCTACCAGTTAATCGCTCTAGTTCATTTTGCCGTTAATGCCAAGTAAACCGCGCTCAGCCAAGCTTAGTACAGAAACAATCTTTGGCCCTTGTTGCTTTAGCGTACCTACATGGGTCTATTATCTTCTGAATTTGATGACAAAACCAAATGTGTGAATTAGTTAAATTAACTTTAGAAACAGTTGAAAACGAAATTTTTCTGGTGGAAAAAATGTTGTGATTATGTATTTACAGATTATATGTAGACTAACCAATGCCCGCCCGCTGCGCGGCTCCTAATAAGATATTTTGCGTTGGCCACTACAAAAATAGCGTTAAAGGCAAAAGCGGTCTGTAAAGTAAACACTTTTGGTTTTAGTTGAAATTGAAACGTCCAACGAGAATAATCCTCCTTACACATAGGTTAAGAATAGTAGCGCTGTGATACCATATGGAATACTAATCCCTTTCGATGTCATGCGTTTTACCGATGGTCCTATTTCTGCACAGATGAGCGTTTTCAGTTACAGGAGGGCCAAGATTCCTCGCTGTCCCACAGGATGAAAAGTTTTCCCGTACATTGACTAAGTAAGTCTAGTATACATTTACAATTCGTCTTGATATTTATGAACTAGTATCTGTGAGTCTTACTGCTGTAACAACGACCACCCCGCGCAATTTCGTCAATCGGAGGTGACTGCAAGATCGCATTAAGAGTGTATGAGGGCGTCAGACAAAGGTGCGCTTACATAATGTTGCGGTCTTTATACTTAAACCTTGATTTAGCCATCTGAAAAGTATATTCGCGACGTAGCGTGACGTGATGTGGCGCGTCGGTCGCGGGCCGTCGCGAAGCTAAGCAAATTTAATGTTTGAAAGAGCAATAATAATATAATAGATTGGCGCTTACACATATGTTAGTGTTTGGCCGAGCTTCTCCTCCGATTTGTGGTGTGCGCCTTAATGTTGTCACACAAAGGGGAGGTACCTACAGTTTTACGCCGACTCCGAACGGCGATTATATTTTTATGAGAAGCTGTTTTTCATGGCAGAAATACACTCGAAAGTTTGGCATTGCCTGCCGAGGGACGACCGCTGTTAAGAAAAAACCTTTTTCTATATCTTTTACGATGTTGCTTTGACCAGGGCTTGAACCCAGGTGCTGATGAGTGAAAGCGCGCACTGCTTACCACTAAACCACAGCGGCCGACGAAA